CGTCACACATGTAAATAACCGCTGCCCACGCCTCCCTCAACCAATCACATCACTCAGAGAGACTGCAAGGTGCGTCGTTGTCACCCCCCGGGAATCATTTTTTATATCTCAGTAACTCTTATGAACTTTGTAGGTCATATTTATCGCAGTTAAAATTTTTGTGTATATTAATTGTTGATAAAATTTGGCTCATGTACCGGTAAACGCCTTTGTAGATACGAGAAAACGTTAAAGAATGGTGGGATATTGTGTTGGTAAGCAAAGAATGAGACGACCAGGTGGTGGAAAGCGCGTCTCTTCTAAGTTGGCAACATTCTTATAATTACAATAATATCTTCAACAACAAATACATATATAATTAAATCGTAAATCAATATACTGAAAAAATAAAAAGTATAATTTAAATTTAATATTAAAATACGGTTAATTATGACTGTCTCATAACACGAGTTCAGTTATTAGTTATAAAATGGCTTTATTTACGGCTTGGCAACTGAGACCCTGGGTGGGGTTGGAAGCTGAGGTGGTGGCGTCACAGTCATCCCACAAGGCGGTAGTTTGGGCTCTGTTCTTGAAGTGTTCGGTCTAGAGTCGGTCTGTTCAAATTTGTGTGTGTAACTGTTTACCATTAAATAATTCCTACCGTGTACTTTGAGTTACAGTTTAAAGAAGAAGAAAAATACTAATATAACGTATGTGACAGAAAATAATATGAAGACAAGTATTATTTGAACCAGTATTGCTAATTTCGAAATCATATAGACAAATATTTACTCAGTCAATTATGTGGAATTAGTGTAATAAATGTAAATACAAGAGGAAGAAAATTTAGTAAAGCAGATGGCAGGGAAGGAAAGCTCCCTCTAGCTTTCTCTTCCATAAGGTACCGACAGTTGGATACCCCTAGTCTCCTGGTTGGTGTTGGATCTCATTGCCGTTATTTGTCCGTGATCAAAGAGGAAAGGCATCGATCCCATTCAATTTTATATCTATAATTATTAATATAGCTTGGGTGTGCATGGACGTGTTATGTAGCGTATATAAACGAAAAATATTACTTTATCTGATAACCATGAAAGGAACATTAACTAGGGAGAGATTTCCACGAATTTTTCCCTCCCTCCCCACCAAACCACAGAGGTCAAGCCGCGTCTTAAACTGGCAGGGGAGCGACGAAACCAGTTTAACTCGTATTGGTGAATATTATTAATACAGTCCACTATTCACACATTGTCTATAAACAAGGTGAACTAATTGTGGATTATTATGGCGATTTTACTGAATATCTGTATGTCTGTCTATTAATCAATCTATATATCTATCAATTCTTCTATATATATCTATCTATTTATCCATCCAGCTATCTGCCTATCCAATCACCCATCCACCTATCCATTATATGTAAAGGATCCAGTGAATAATAGTGAAGACATTGAAAAAATCACCAGTATCAGTTTCCACAAGTTCCCCCCAGTACCAGTTTCCACAAGTTCCCCCCAGTACCAGTTTCCACAAGTTCCCCCCAGTACCAGTTTCCACAAGTTCCCCCCAGTACCAGTTTCCACAAGTTCCCCCCAGTACCAGTTTCCAGACTAATTCTGACTATGGGTGTTGGTACCTAACGTAAAACACCACGTTATTGGTAGTGATACAGCAGTGACATGTGTTATCTCTCTCCACCATGTCATGTGTTCGAGTCCTGCGTGGCTTGTTCTTACCAATCAGTACACAATCAAGGTACAGACCCTGACCTCCAGTAGGGCGCCACAGTCAGGCTCTAACAGGGAGAGTTGGAGGATGGATCAATAGCTGACCCCTATCCTTGGCGCCCCACAACGGCAGTCTGGCCCGGAAGTATAGCTGTTTCCTTAACCTTTTATTTTCACCTAGAGAGAGAGAGAGAGAGAGAGAGAGAGAGAGAGAGAGAGTATAACCTACCACGTCTTGTATCCACGATTTCAGTTCGCAGGTTATCAGTCGTGTGTGTGTGTGTTGTGTGTGTTGTGTGTGTGTGTGTGTGTGTGACGGACGAATAAGACTGGCTGGAATTTGTCTATCCTTTTCTCTCACTTTCTCTCAACATATGAAATCTGACTGAGCCCCTCACTGTAAATGAGCTTTCTAATCAGATAAAATAAGCTGGGGTGTCCAATCAGATAAAATAAGCTGGGGTGTCAAATCAGATGAAATAAACTGAGGTGTCAAATCAGATGAAATAAGCTGGGGGTGTCAAATCAGATGAAATAAGCTGGGGTGTCAAATCAGATGAAATAAGCTGAGGGTGGTAATCTTCAGGTGATCCTAAGTTCCTGCCAGAAGGGCGCCAAACACACACTTAACCACGAGGGCTATTGTGAAGTCCTCTGTACTCCTGAAGGTCAAGGCCAATAACGATAGTAAGTGCTGAAATGAAGGTCTGTTTTAAAGACTCCTTCCTGAGGGGTTAATTCTATCTCACTATCCCAGGTTAATTTCTCCTAGCGGTTGTGGAGAGATTAAGAAACCGCGTCGATAATATCTCCTAAACGCAGCTTCGAGGTTTTTCTAAGGCTTAAGACATCTTGGCGCTTAGGACATCTTCTAAGTCAGGGTTGAGAGGACGGAGACGCGACCCCACGACGCATGCTTGCCGTTTGTGCTTCAAGTCAGCCGGGCATATTATTGGGGGCTTCCTTGCAGGTCGCTAAGGTGAACAACACGAGAGCTTTTCCTGAACTGTGGTGGTGGTGTGTGGTGTTCCTGGCTGGTATGGGAGAAGTGAGAAGTATATCGACTATGATTCATCTTATATTCAAAGGATCGTGTGGTATTAGTGTGGTGTTATAGATCAATGAGTTACACCTTGCTAAAACCCTCACGTCTAATTGAACTGTTCGGTATTGACACACACCAGGTCTCTATTTCTTCGTGGTATATATTAACACGTTGAGGACGATGGCAGCTTTTTTGCGTGCGATGGTTTAACCTTTTTGAGTGCGATGGTTTAACCTTTTTGAGTGCGATGGTTTAACTTCTTGGGATATTATGGTTTAACCTTTCTGAGTACAATGATTTAACCTGAGTATAGTGTTATTGTACTCAACGGAAAAGATCTTCGTAATCAAAGTATAAAGACATCGTCATCAAGGGGTTAAATCATCGTCCTCAGGGTTAAGTCATCGTATTCAAAGGGTTAACTCATCGTCCTCAACGGGTTTAAGTTATCCTCAATGGCTTAAGTCATCGTCTTCAGGAGTTAAATCATCGTCCTCAGAGGGTTAGGTCATCGTATTCAAAGGGTTAAGTCATCGTCCTCACCCAGCAGCCACTGTCATGAGAATTGGATGTGTGTTGTCTGGTTTGGGAGGAGATATTTCACGCTGTCTAAGGGTCTGTCACGCAACGCAATTCCTACCACTACCCTATGACCTGCCCGCACAGTCTGCTAACAACCCCTCGTCTGGTCCACAATTCTTCAAGCATTACCTCCCCTCCCAGCTTATTGTACCTGGGGATTAACCTAACCTAACCCCACCAGGTAGTGTTAGGGTGTTTATTTATCGGGTGAGGAAACTGCAGTGACATACAAGGCAGTCCCGTTTACACCCAATCCCCATCGCTCATATATCCATCCAACCTATGTTTAAAGCTACCCAGCGTGTTCGAGTTAATGATGATGTTTGGTAACTTGTTCCACTCATCCACTACTCTTATTTCCGTATCAGTGTTTACCTATCTGGCGCCTATATCTAAATTCGTCTAACACACATCACTACTGTATATTCAAACACTTCGCGGGTTATATGGCTGTACTATAACAAATACAGGAAGTGTAGGTCAGACTCGATGCTTTTGTGAAACTATTGTAGAGGTTTTAACTATACCAGGTGTTAATAAATGGCTCAGGGTGCCTTTAAATGACTAGTTTTTCAAAGCACCGTTCATTAGGTCATAGTTACAGTGAATTTAACGGACTATAAGAGAGAAAAATCCGTTATATCGAAGGTACATTATGTGAGAAACCTCCATCTAATGAACTACCGGTATATAGAGACGAAATTCCGTTATATCGAAGGTACATTATGTGAGAAACCTCCATCTAATGAACTACCGGTATATAGAGACGAAATTCCGTTATATCGAAGGTACGTTATGTGAGAAACCTCCATCTAACGGATTATGCGGAGAGAGAAGTCCGCTATATGGAGGGTTTACTGTACACACTTTACGTTACTGATCTTGGCTCTCTCTCTCAGGTATATGTTAAAAAATAAACACACTCTTGGCCTTACCTACAGTACACCTTTTACTACTGTGTGTGGGTGTGGTAGGGGGGGGGGGTGGGGTGATGGGCGTGATAGTGGGAGGTAGTGGGCGTGATAGTAAAGACGGTAGGCGTGGTAGTGAGAATGGGCGTGGCAGAAAAAGGGGAATGGGCATGGTCTTTTTTTTCATCAATAACACTCACGTTTGGAGTTGGTGACGTAACGCTCTGGCTCGCCTGCAGTCTATCCACGCGACATCATCATTAATCTCTTGTTCACCTTTCATAAACAATGTTGTATTTTATCACACCCTTGTACCATAAATCGTGCACACATAACTAGCACAAATATAAACGATTGTATCTTGTTTATCAATACTGGCAAATTAAGAGTAATTATTATTTGAGTTTTAATAGAGAGAAACGCGTGGTGAATAAGTGGTGATGAGGTTTGTTGGGTTAAAACTTAAAATGCAGCGAGGAAATTCACGGCAGAATGGTTCCCCTTAGTCAGCGGGTGAGACATCTTCACTGCGCGACCCACTGTGACGCGGCCTACCAGGCTACCGCAGTTTTGCCAGAGGGAAACTATGGTTAAATGGTAATACGAGGCAAGAAATATTATAATGAAAATAATTTACACAAGGGGGTAGGTTTGTATGGTGATGAATTATTTAATTTGTATGTAAATTGTATTTATAATTATTTTAAAAAGATCTGGGGGGATTATTTTTATGACATCTGCAGTGTGGTTGTGTTGGTAATACTAGGTGACGTCATCACCCAGTCGAGCCGGCCACCTCAACTGAGTTGGTAGTGCAGCGAGTCGGTCCCAGTGCGTACTTCTGCCATTTATCACATTTCTCTCAATTCTATTAATAATACCTAACTGAAACTGATATAAAATTGAGACTCGATAACAGAAAAATGTGTCGGTAATGGAGATGCGGCATGACAAGTGTGTGTGAGACAGTAAATCCTCACGTTCCAGTCAGCGACACTGGAACTTCCTGGACTTGGGAGCGTCGTGTGCTGGAGCCTTCCATCACTCCCGAGGCGACCCGCTTATTTTAACATTGTGGTCCCCCCCCTCCCCTCAGTAACTGTGATTTCATATAGACTGAATAATTAACCTTGCTAACTACAAACTGGACCTTTAATAATTCTTAGGTGAATCAGCGCAAGAATATAACAGCGAAAAATATAATTTAAAGACCAGGAAACTTGAGTGTGAGTGTAGGTGTGTTTCCTAGCAACCTCTCCACCCCTCCGTCTCTTCCTCGCTACCTACCGAGAGAGTGTTTCCCCCACAGTGACTTGCGCCTTCTTAACCTGAGTCTCTCTGTAAATACAACTGACGGAGGCAATATCTTGGCTCTGGTATTTAGCATGTCATACTTAACTGAAGTTTACATTCCGATAACATGACATTTGTATGATATATATGTAATTATTTATAGTATTCAGTAGTGATGTTTACGTGTGTGTGTGTGTGATTATGTATGTATCAATGTGTGTGTGTGTATCTATTGTGATTATGTATAGATCAACGTGTGTGTGTGTGTGTGTCTCCACCCATAGCCACTCAAGCACACCATTTACTCTGTGTATTCATGAACCTTATTTCCCTTCCCATACATACCAACCACAACAACACATCAGTGACTCGGAGCCATTAACACCTGACAATAACAGTATAGGGGCGAACTGTGGGAGTGGGGTGGTATCGTGGGAGTGGGGTGGTATCGTGGGGGTGGGGTGGGGCTATCGTGGGGGGTGGGGGTATTTGGTGACGTGCCCTGTGTTCTTCATACCCATGCCAACTGGGTAACTTGGCAAGGAGAATACAGAGTTGTTACCAATGTGTCTAATAATAATAACTTTTAGTAGTCTATGAACAGGAGTTGTGGTGGAAATTTGACGATAACTTGGCCAGTGTTTAGAGGTTAGGACGGAGGTGTGTTAGGGAGGACGAGGGTGTGTTAGGGAAGATTCGAGGACGGGATGTGTTAGGGAAGATTCGAGGATGGAATGTGTTACTGTGTTAGGGAAAACTCGGATGTGTTAGGGAAGATTCGAGGACGGTGGTGTGTTATAACTTGAGGACGGACTGAGGTTAGAATAGGGTTAGTTAACCTTTAGATGAAATAAGCTAGGGAGGAGATTTATCAGATGGCCCCCAAAAAAAGTATCGTGACCATTTTAATTCTAGACAATATGACACAACAGACGAAGGATTTTGACAACCCTACAAAGACAACAGGAGTCACAGTGTTCATTATGGGGTTTTTGAGTGGCTGTACAGTATAAGGAATCCAATACCTTAGCTTTGAATTGTATAAGGAATCCAATACCTTAGTTTTGAATTGTATAAGGAATCCAATACCTTAGTTTTGAATTGTATAAAGAATCCAATACCTTAGTTTTGAATTGTATAAGGAATCCAATACCTTAGTTTTGAATTGTATAAGGAATCAAGTGCGACCTGCATTATCAAGGGTGTTAAATATGCATACTATTAAATTAACACTTGATTAATAGAAGTTAACTTAAACATGTTAATATTTTGATGCCAAGTGTATGTTGACTGCGTGAGGTCCGTTAATGCCGAGGCTCTTGCGTGTAGCTATTTCTGTACTTCTGAACGAGCGTCTGTTTGTACGTTTCTGAGTAAGTGAGCCGTGTGTGTGTGTCGGGGGGGGGGTGAAGGTTTTTGTTCAGGTAAGAGAGGGTGGAAGTGAGGTGAGATTAAGGAGGGTGGAAGTGATGTGAGATGAGGAGGTGGAAGTGAGGTGTGAGGGGTGATGTGAGATGAGGAGGGTGGAAGTGATGTGAGATGAGGAGGGTGGAAGTGACGTGATGGGGAGGGTGGAGGTGAGGTGGGGTGAAGTGGGGTGAGCTGAGGGGAGGGTTGGGTGGGGGGGTGTGGCCAGAAGGAGGGGTGAAAGTACTCCCCAACACAAACCCATCATTGTCACCGTCACTCACCAGTTGACTGACGGTTCAATACACCTGTAACACCCTCACCTGCCTTACCTGGAACCACTTTCTGGGACTTATTATTATCGTCATTCTTTTGTTTTTGTTTTTTGTCCTTTAGTGTCACGTATACATAGTGATTAATAATAATTATCGACCATACGAGAACCTGACACCATTAACTGTGTGTGTGTGTGTGTGTGTGTGTGTGTGTGTGTGTGTGTGTGTGTGTGTGTGTGTTTCTAAGGGGTGACTAACAAGAGAAAGACCTTCATAGTTTAATAGAGATAAAATAGCCAGCTTAAAGACTCCGCTGTACACTCCCTCATACGCGTGGGTTTTCATCACTTCCAACGAGAGACGCAGGAAGTTGTCATAAGGTTTACTGAGCCATTTCCTTTCATCCACCATGTATCTGACACAAGAGTTAATTGACCATAATGCGACGTGTTAGCCCTCTGAGAGACTATCTTTATGTGGTGTGCTCTGATGGGATCCACAGTGACATGACAAGGGTGTGTTGTGAATCTTATTGACATGACAAGGGTGTGGCGTGAGTCTTATTGACATGACAAGGGTGTGTTGTGAGTCTTATTGACATGACAAGGGTGTGGCGTGAGTCTTATTGACATGACGGATGTGTCGTGAATCTTATTGACATGACAAGGGTGTGTCGTGAGTCTTATTGACATGACAAGGGTGTGGCGTGAGTCTTATTAACATGGCAAGGGTGTGGCGTGAGTCTTATTAACATGGCAAGGGTGTATACAGCAACATGAGATTTGCGTGTCCGTGTGTGTGTGTGTGTGTGTGTGTGTGTGTGTGTGTGTGTGTGTGTGTGTGTGTGTGTGTGGTGACATTTCTGCGTGGTGACCGTACAAGCTTCCAGAATGTCAATGTAGGTCAGGTGAGTGACCAGTGCATGCAACACGCGCTGTTCAAGATTGCAACACACAGCAGCAGCAAAATAAATCACTATACTGCCTCGTATGGTTCTGGCCAAAGCTGTGCACCTACTCTCAAGCTTACCAGTTCGCTGAAGGTAAATTTAAGCTTTATTTAACGATTAATCATAAAGCTGGGAAGCTATATTAATGTTATATTGTATAAACCGTAAATAACTATATAGGGTCAAGTATGAAATATAGTTATATGGGGTAAATTTTTGTCAACTTCAAAATGCAATTAGACAGGATTAAGTTACATTAGCGTGATAATATGCCGTAGTTTGGAGACCCCGGGTGCTTGGAGACCCACGCAACGCCTAGGAGAACAGGTAAACACAGCTAGGAAAGGCCGACTATCTCAACAACAACAGCTAGGGAAGGGGTTTGTAGTGACTCGACTCATTAGCCTAATTTATGATGACTTTCCCTGGTTAATATTTTGTAGGTTAATCTTTAGCCATATTAGATCACCTGAAGATTAGCCACCCCGCTAATTTCAGCAGATAAAGACCCTGGGATGCCTAATCTTCATGTGAGTCTTTATTAATATATTGTAACTACCACAGCTAGTCCAAATTGTAACCTCGTAAATACAAGCTACTTTTATTACTAATCCGTCGTGGTTTAAATACTGCTGTTACTAATCCGTCGTGGTTTAAATACTGCTGTTACTAATCCATCGTGGTTTAAATGCTGCTGTTACTAATCCATCGTGGTTTAAATGCTGCTGTTACTAATCCATAGTAGTTTAAATGCTGTACGAGTTTAGGCCGGAACAAGTCCGTCACGCATCACGGTGGTCCACACTGTCTGGCTGACTGACGTACGACCAACTTCTCGTCTTAAATACAACCTCATTACGCACACAGGAATATACTGCTTGGGTTAACAGATATCAACATGATAGTATACACACACACACACACAGGAGGCCCACACCAGCAATCACTAGTATATGTGTGTGTGTGTGTGTCAACAATATTGGGGGGGGGGGGAGCTGAGTCACTCTATCCCATATGACCGCCGCCAGGGGATAGTGACCAGGATAGTGATGGTGTACCAAACTTAATAATAATGGTGAGATGATGGTGACGTCACTATGATTGTGATGGTGATGGTAGTTCAGTTTAAATGGACACGTCTCAAAGCCCTCACTAACCTAACCATACCTAACCTAACCAAACCTGACCTAATCCCTAACCTAACCTATCCAAACCTAATCCCTAACTTAACCTCACCGAACATAACCTAACCTAGCTAAGCCTAACCTAACCTAACCACGACTCATTTTTAAAAGTGTATTACGACAGATTCTTGCTATTTCCGAGTCGAGAGGAAGTGCCACCTCCAGGGCCCTCTCGCTAAACATCAAAGGTGCCAGCAGTAGGTGCCGTGTGCGTGCGTGCGTGCGTGCGTGCGTGAAGGTATTTTTAGAGCAGGCAGGTTAACCGGATCTGAGTTACAATATGCCAAACTTAACCTACGACAACTCAACTAAAATCCACCTTAATTCGTTTTAACTTAACTTAATCCAACCTAATTTAATCTAACCCAACCCAACTTAAGACAATATCACTAAACTCAAATGAACCAAACCCAACTTATTTTAACTCCAGCCAACCTAACCTAACCTACTTACACCAATTCTAAGCCAACCAAACCCAACCAAACCTAACCACCAAACGTCACCTATAACCTAATAGGGCCCAAAGCACATCAGGTAGGGTTTGGGGCCAGTAGGGTTAAATTAAGTTAGGTTTGGGGACTCAGGTTAAGTTAGGGCCCTGTTAGCTTAAGTTAGGGTTCTATTAGATTAAATTAAGTTAGGATTGGAGACTCAGGTTAAGTTAGGGCCCTGTTAGCTTAAGTTAGGGTTCTATTAGATTAAATTAAGTTAGGTTTGGGGACT